CAAACCCATCCCATAGACGAAATACAACCACCATCCAGAAGCCAGACCACGGCGGCACCACCAGCTGCTGCACCCCCCTCCGATCCCCACACAAAGCAAACTGACACACGGCATGAACACATGGCAAGACCTCAAACTCAGAGCCAAAGCCCGGGATGTGGCATCACAGCCATCTGCTCAGGACATTACATCAAAAAACTCAGGATATCACAACACTAGAATTTAGGATGTTAACACACAGCCCATTACCCAGGTCGTTACAACACAAAAGACTAATGGGCACGCATCAAGGACCTCACCCACACAGGATGTTATGAAACAGCCGACTAATCTGCAAACATCAACTCCATCAACCAATCAAGATGTAACAACACAGGCAACCAACCTGCTCACAGCAACAAAGCCAGCACCCCACACCTCCCCACCAGTATTTATAGAGAGACGGCAGCTCCGATCATGCTTTGCTTGCACAGGCACGAAGCCGAAGACACCAGCCTTCTGCCTTGACACTTGGCTGCTCTAATAGTATGTGGTGTGGGGTCAACAGTATACAGCTGTGCTATTCAACTAAAGCTAAATAAAGCTATAAAAATTGGTTGGCTTTCCTAAGAACTTTTACACATGCACATATATTCATTCCTTATTTTCTTATGAAGATATTCATATGTTTAACTGAGACTTATTCCTTTATGGGACCTATTATTCAAACTGTTAGTAAACTCACAGATGTATTTCCAGGAAGAGGTCAGCAGCAAAGTACTTTCATATCATGTGAAGAAAAGTGCATGGACACTTCCATTTTGTATTAAGAGTCAAACTTATTCAGCCTTTGCTTATTTGTTTTTATATTTTCTATACAAGAAGCTGCATTTTTATTACTATTTACCCTCCCTTTATTGTTCTCTACCCACTTCTGTTTTTGTTAGCTGAATGATATTAGATTCATAATGCTTGTTATGTGTGGAGACTTCTTAACCCGAATTCCCTGCTCAGGGCAGGAATTCAAATTACAGTAATCTGACATGTTTCTTTACTATTTCAACTTTTAGTGATGGGAAGCCCACCATCTTTGTCAGTAAATGGTTCTATTGCTGAATGACTCCAATTATTTAATAAGCATTTAGTTGGAATTTGTCTTTCTGTAACTGAAATCCATTATTTTGTATCCCACACTCTGGGAGGAGAGAAAACTGGACTTGGCCTTCTTTGTGTGACTTCCTTGCCTTTTAAATGGAAGGTTTCTGGTTTGAAATGTAGCAAATTTTGAATTACTACTTTCCCCCCAGATGTTTCCTACTTTGCCTTGTATAGGTAGTCTTTGCTTAATAACTACAATTAGAACTGGAAACTCCATCACTAAAAATGGTCATTAAGTAAGACATCACATGACCATGACTGACTTACAATTTCACTTCTGCATAATCATTAAGTGAAACACCCAATGTTGTTAAGCAAAACATCTGACCACAACTTGAAATTTTATTGCTGGATTCTCCACTGACTGCCTATCAGTAGCCAACTGTGAATCGTGCAAATGGCAATCATGTAATAGTGGGGTAACCATGATAGTTGCAAATGCAAGGACCTAAAGTTACCTTTTCAGCACCATCATAATTTCAAACAGTCCCTAAGTAGAACAGGCATTAAGTGTGGACTACTTGTACATTTTGTTTTTTTGCTTTTAATATACCATATTATATATATATATGTGTGTGGGATGTTGGAATAAAAGCCTTTTTACGTGCCTGGGAAAATAATGAAGATGCACTTTTGTTTTGCCTTATTTTAAGAAAGGCCAGGAAAAATAGGAAGCTCAGGGAAAGAAAAACAACATTAATGAAAACCATACCTTCTAGAAATGACTTTTCCCAAGGAACAAGATAGCCATAGGTTTTAGATTCATATTTATATGTAGGACGTTTTTTCAGTACAATCAACATATGTATTTATTTTTTTCCCTCTTCACAACTTTAAAATTTATAAATTTAATTTGCATTCTTTTGCATTGTCTTAAAATGAATGCTTCCAAGAAGCTTCTTCAGCTCTGGCAGAATAGAGGGGAATTGAAGGATTTATATTACTTGCAGAAAGCTGGTCATTTGCATCCTTTTAGAGGGTCATTGAAGCACTTTGAAGTTTATCTGTGTCCTCAGGGTCACCTGAGTAGTGCTCCTGGTCCTGTAGTCTGCAGTTTTTGTCTCTGGAAATCTATTCTTACTCCCAGGCTGTAGAGACTGAGAATTTCTACAGACTTTTAGCTATACAATTTGGGATGAACACCCTTTGAATGGTGTAGGAATAGGAATGGGTCAATCTCTATCCCCTCATAGGAAATGCAGTAGCCCAAGTAGTCAATTTTACTCTGGTGGAACTCACATTTTGAAAGTTTAGGTATAGTTGAACAGCCCTAAGTTTTTTAAAGCACTGCTCTAACCAGTTTCACATGCTCCTTCATAGTCTCAGTATAAATCAGCATGTCATCCAGGTAGACCAAAATGCCTTTGTACAGGTGCTCATGCAGCATCATTTATTAGCTGCATGAAGAGTGGGGGGGGGGAAGGTTTGTAATCCAAAGGGGAAGACCCTGAACTGAAAACACTCTTAAGTGGCAGTTAAAAGCTGTTTTCCATTTGTCCCCCTCCTTGATCAGAATTTGGTAATAGGCTTCTTGCAAGTCCAGTTTAGTAAAAATCTTCCCCTTGGCCAAATGGGTTAATGTATCTTTCATTAGTGGCAGTGGGTAGACGTTTTCCACATACACAGTGTTTTGGCTCTCTATAGTCTTATGCCAGGGGTCTGCAACCTTAAACTCTTGAAGAGCCATTTGGACCCATTTCCCACAGAAAACAAAACACTGGGAGCCACAAAACCTGGGTGGGCGTGGTCGACTCAATGTCACTCACTCTTACAGTCACCCTCAGCAACGCCCACCCAAGTTTTGTGGCTCCAGGTGTTTTCTTTTCTGTGGGAAAACAGATATCTCTCTGTGTGTCTCTCTCTCATTCTCTCTGTCTCTCTCTCCCTCCCGGTCTCTCATCTCCCCCTCTCTTTGTCCCTCCCTTTCTTTCATCTCCCTCTCCCTTTCTCCGTCTCTCTCACCTCTTTCTCCGTCTCTCATCTCTCTCCCTCTTTCAAGCTATTTCTCCCTCCCTCATCTTTCTCCTTCTGTCTCTCATGTCTCTTTCTCCCTTTCCCTCATCTCTCCCCCTCCCTCCCTGTCTTTCTGTCTCATCTTTCTCATCTCTTTTCACCTCTCTCACACATCTCTTAATCTCTTTCCGTCTGTCTCTATCTCATCTCTCTCTCCTTCTGTCTCTTTCTGTCTCTCATACACACTCTCCCTCTCTGTGTCTTTCTCTCGCCCCCCCTCTCCCTCTCCCCCTGTCTCTTTCTCTTTCTCCCTCCCATATGGTTTAAATCAAGAGCATTTCAGGTTCCCAGATAAACAAAGCTCTTTCGTCCCTGTACTGTAGCTCCCTGCCGGCTGAATCCACCACTGGCTGGCCCCACCCCTCGCCCTCCGCTCCCAGTCATTCCTTGCCTGGCCTGAGAAGCTCTCTGCCCCGAGATACTGGCCCGGCCCAGCTGCGGCTGATGCTCTGCATCATAATGGACTCCAGGAGGAGGGGACACCATCTCCCCCATTGTGAAGTGCGCTAAGTGTCTATGCATAGATTCAGGACCCATCCTTTTTTTTCCAGAATAGCACCAGGGTGGCCACTCTGGGTCAAGCCAGCTGGATAAATCTCTGCTTTAGGTTTTTGTCTATAAAAAAAGATATAGTTCCTTCAATTCCCTAGAGGTCATAAAGTACAATTTGGGTTTGGGTAGTTTAGCCCCCAAAAACATCTCTATGGAGCAGTCTGTTGGCCAGTGGGGTGGGAATTCATCTGAACTCTCCTTGCAAACATATCCCGCAAGTCCCGGTACTCTGGAAAAATTTGGGGATCAGTCTTCTTTCACTCTTGCATTGCATTGTACCCCTCACCTCCTGTCTCAGCTTCAGGATCTCTAAGATCTTTCCCAGTTTCATTTTAGCCTCAGCCCACTGGAGTTTTAGCAGCCCCCTCCTCCATTTCACAGAGGGGTTCCATTGATGTAGCCACACTAGTCCCAGCACCAAATGTCTCCCCATGCCTGGATCCACAATAAAATTTAGAGTCTCTATGTGTGTCCTCATCCACATTTCTATCGACTCAGTGATGAATGTCGCTGGGATCCCTCCCACTATGGAGTCATCTAATTGGCAGAATGCCACTGGAACTTTGAGCAGCCTAAGTCTCAATCCTAGTTTCTCCAATAGCACAGGGTTGACCAAACATCTGGTACATCCTGAGTCCAGAAGGGCCACTAAGCTGGCTTTACGTCCTGTGGATTGGACTATCAGTTCAATGAGGACTGTCATCGGGGTACCAGGGGGTCATAGTTGGAGTCAGTATTGCTCTCTCCTGGGCCTCCGCTGGGCTAGTCAGAGTTCTCTCACGATGTCTGGGGAATGGGGTGAACTCTATGACTCCACACCTTCCAGGGCTGTCTCACAGGCTCATGGTGTTGGCTTGGCAGTCTTTTTGGTGGACCCCAGGATTGTTTTCTGGGCCAGTTGGTTGGACCTGCACTCAGCACCTTTGTGCTCCTCCTTTCTGCACTTGAAGCAAGCTGTGCATCATCACTGAGGGTTCTGGGCACCTGTCTGTGCTTTTGGAATTTCCTTCTTCTCCGAGAAGGATTTTTGCCACCCTCTCCTTGGGCAATGCTTGTTTTGGGCGAGGTTGATTTCTGCTTCCTCAGCCAGGACATACCAGCCATGGAGGGGGGGGGCACCCCTGGAGATGCAGATGTTGTAGACCTCATCAGTTATCCTGTCTTTAAAACAGCTGATTAGGATGTCTTGTGGCCAACTGCTAGCTGGCAGGCAAGGTCGCTGAACTCCTGGGTGTATTCAGTCACGTGTCAGCGTTCCAGAAAACCCCTGACTCCCAGTAAAGACGCGGAAGCAGGCATTTTCCAAAATTCTCTTTACTAGAAATAGGTAAACTGGCACATCTGGGAAATCCCGAATCTGAAAAGCCCGGGCTTTCCTTCAGTAATACAAAGTTCCCAAAATCACCCCCTTTCTCCTCAATTGATCACATGCTCCAATCAATGTGCGTTCCACCTCGACCCAGCACCTGACCCTCCTCCTCCAGATGCTGAATCACCCTGACCATGACCGATAGGAAGAATGCTATTATGTCTACTAATTCCCTTCTCCTAAATCCCCCCTCCTACTTTCACATACATGAGGTGGCAGCATTGAAGCTTCCGGCCTAATATGGCTTCCAAGGCTGACAGGTGTCTCCCCCTGCAGGAAGAAAAATAAAACAGACAAAACACAAAAGGAAAGGGTTACCGCTTAGCACCAATCCCTTTAACCCCCCCCCCCCCCCAGGAGGTCCTTTTGATTTGTCAGGAAATTTGTCGTGAAACTGTTTCACAAGCGCATCAGCCTTCATATCCCAACTCTTAACCCAAGTAGCTTCAGTCAAAGGGTAACCTTTCCAGTGCACCAAATATTGTAATCGAACCCTGTAGAGTCTAGAGTACAGGATTTTTTTCACCTCATAATGAGTCTCCCCTTGTATTACTAAAGGAGGGGGCGGAGCAGCTGGCAAAGGTCTGAGGGTAGATTCTCTGACCGGTTTCAATAAGCTGCTATGGAAAACAGGGTGTATTTTCCCTAATATGCGAGGGAGTCTAAGTTGGACAGTCACCGGGTTAATCACTTTCACTATAGGAAAGAGACCTACAAATTTGGGTCCAAACGTCTTGCTGGGCACTCTCAATCTTAAGTATTTGGTTGACAAATACACCTTATCACCTATTCGGAAAGGTGGTTGGAGACCCCGATGTTTGTCGGCTTGAGCCTTATATTTTTCCGCTGACTCCGCTAAAGCTTTTTTTGTATTCTCTCAACCCTTCTTCAATGAGGTCATCCAGTCCGTTAAGGACATGGAAGTAGACGGCTCTCTAGGCAATTCAGGCATCGGCACAAAATCCATGCCTGTAGTTATTTGAAAAGGAGTCAAGCCAGTATTGATGTGTACTGCATTATTATAAGCAACTTCTGCGAATGGTAGCAAGTCCGCCCAGTTCTCTTGTTAATAATTCACATAACACCTAATGTACTGCCCCACCATTGAGTTCAATTTTTCAGCCGATCCGTTAGTTGATGGGTGAAAAGCCGAACTAAGTCCCTGAGATGACCCAATGGATCGTAGAAACTCCCTCTAAAAGTTAGAGGTAAATTGGACCCCGTGGTCCAATATTCTTCTTCTTGGGACTCCATGTAGCCTGTAGATGTGTTTCACAAACAGTTTTGCCAGTTTTTTAGCTGAGGGTAGTCCACTGCAGGCAATGAAGTGGGCTTGCTTGGAGAATAAATCACTGACAGTCCAAATGACGCGGTTGCCCCCACTGTCAGGGAGCTCAACTATGAAGTCCATCACAATCTCCTCCTAGGGCTTGGTGGGTTAGGCCAGAATCTGGAGAAGGCCAGGGGACTTCCCCGGTCGGTATTTCATGGTGGCGCAGGTGGCACAGCTCCTGACATAGTCTTCCACATCGGTTTTCATTTTTGGCCACCAGAATTGCCTCCTAGTCAAATGGAGGGTTTTTAAAAACCCAAAGTGCCCTCCTAGGCGAGAATCATTACTTCTCTTCAGTACCAGGAGCCATAGGCTGCGGGGCACTTAAAGTTTATTCCCTTTCCACGCCAACCCATCCCGTAGGGTGAGGTCGGCCTGGTGCTCTTTGAACCAGGAATCATTCGAAAGCACCGCTTTTAGCTCTGCTGTCAATTTGTCTTCGGGGAGTTTGGAACCCTGGCGCGTTTGCGCTCTGGTGCGGGCTTGGGCGGCTGGCTGAGATTCTGAAATCATGGCGTGAACTATCTCTTCCCGTTGGCTGTCAAATTGGGGTTTGTGGGAGAGAGCGTCAGCCAGAAGGTTCTTATCCCCCGGGATATATTTCAGGTTAAAGTTAAAATGTTTGAAATATTGAGCCCAACGAACCTGCTTTGGAGAAAGCTTCCTCGGGGTCTTCGGTGCCTCGAGATTCATGTGGTCAGTCCAAACCTCAAAAGGCTCCTCCACCCCCTCCAGGAAATGTTTCCAGGACAGGAGAGCCCATCGCACCGCAAACGCCTCTTTTTCCCATGCCGCCCATCTGTGCTCAGTGTCCATTAACTTCCTGGATACGTAAGCACACGGCATTAGATTTTTCTGGGGGTCTTTTTGTAGTAGAACAGCCACCACCGCCACATCATAAAAAGTTTATTAGGTTTATTATTGGGCTTATTATCAGGGGATGTCTTATTTTGGGGAAAACAGGGTATACACATACACACACACATATATGCACACCCACCCACCCACCCACCCATATATATACACCCACCCACACATATATATAAAGATTTGAGGAATAATTCAATTTTATGCAACCTTCCTTTCCAGAAGTAAGTGTATCTATTTTTGTTTCAGTACATAATTTCAGTATCTTTTAATAAAATTTCAGTAAAATTTAAATCTCAACATTTATGTTATCACAATGCTAGGAAAATAATTTCTTAACAGGCAATAGTTGAAATGACATCACACAGTCAATAAGCCACATGGAGGGCACTTCCCAAACCTTTCCTTGACGAACTTTTTTTGGTTTGTAGTTAGAAGAGGCATCATAGATTATATATTGTGTACAGAAACTCTGGTCAGATGTAATCTCAGCATGATAAGCTACTGTATTGATTGTCTGAGTGACATCATTATCTGATTTAGGCTTCCTTAGGAGAATTTGTCCTCCTCCAGCTTTCACCAGTTCTTTGAGGTCATCTTTCTTGTGCTCTTTAAATATTCCCAGGAAATAGAAGTAGCAGCCATCAAAAAGTTTTGGCAACTGAAATAAAGAATAGGTTGTTCTCATCCATGCAGCTCACAATTCTAAGATAAAGCCACTATTTCTTATTTAATAAACCTCTACAATCAACTAGTTTAGCTAGCTTCTATTTATCTGTGAGCTACATTGCAACTAATAATACAATTTTTGTATGGCATGTAAAATATCAAATCAACCAGCAATAAATTAAGGACTATAAACTGCTGAAAAAAATGGGTGAAGATAGAAACAGGACCCAAAATGGACAGAACAGAACAAACAAGAGGAATGGTTCCAAAGAAGGAAAACAGACATATAGCCTATTCTCAGGGATAAAAAAGGAATGAACAGTCCTGTGGATGGAAGAAATGGAATGAGAGGAAAAGGGAAACAAAAAGGTTTTGTGAAAAAAAATTCATATCAGTTATGTTGTAGAAATGAAGGATAGCAAATAGATCAAATAAAAAAAGAAATTATGTGGAGCTTTGCAACAGAAGAAGCTGGTAGGAACAGGTAAAGAGATAAAAGAGATTAAACTTCATATATGGATTAAAAATAATCTGAACTTGGTGTGCATGGGTTTACTTAATTAACAAATGATTACAAAATATTTCTAGATCTGGGAGGAGAAACAAATTTATTTATTTATTTTATTTATTTATTTTATTAGATTTTTATACCGCCCTTCTCCTACTGGACTCAGGGCGGTGAACAGCCAAGAATAAAAACATCACATACAAAATTTAAGATTAATTTTAAAAGAATTAAACAAGTTTTGGCCCAATATAAAATTTAAAACACCCCAACTAAAATCAATTAATAATTAAAAATATCTAAGGGGGAGTCAAGCCAGCCCAACTTGATGAAATAAAAAAGTTTTAAGGGCACGGCGAAAAGAATGGAGATCTGGGATCCTATGTATCTCTGGGGGCAGGTTGTTCCAAAGGACAGGTGCTGCCACAGAGAAGTCCCTCCCCCTGGGGGTCGCCCGCTGACATTGCCTGGCCGATGGCACCCTGAGGAGTCCCTCTCTGTGGGAGCGTACTGGCCGGTGGGAGGCTATCGGTGGCAGAAGGCGGTCCCGTAAGTACCCAGGCCCTAAGCCATGGAGCACTTTAAAGGTGGTAACCAACACCTTGAAGTGCATCTGGAAGACCACCGGGAGCCAATGCAGCTTGCGCAGGAGAGGTGTCACATGGGAGCACCCCATTGCTCCCATAATCCCCCGCGCGGCCGCATTCTGCACCAGTTGGAGCCTCCGGGTGCTCCTCAAGGGGAGCCCCATGTAGAGAGCATTACAGTAGTCCAGGCGAGAAGGGACAAGTGCCTGAGTGACCGTGTGTAAGGAGTCCCAATCCAGAAAGGGACGCAACTGGTGAATCAGGCGAACCTGATAAAAAGCCCCCCTGGCCACGGCTGTCATATGCTCTTCTAAAGACAGCCGTGCGTCCAGGAGGATGCCCAAGTTGCGGGCCGTCTCCATGGGGGCCAGTAACTCGCCCCCAATAGCCAGCAATGGCTATATCGGGACGCCGGAAGCCACAGCCACTCGGTCTTGGAAGGGTTGAGTCGGAGCCTATTTCTCCCCATCCAGACCCGCACGGCCTCCAGTCACCGGGGCATCACTTCAAGGGCATCATTGGGATGGCCTGGGGTGGAAATGTACAGCTGAGTATCATCAGCGTACTGATGGAACTCCACCCCAAAACCACGGATGATCTCACCCAGCGGCTTCACATAAATGTTGAACAGGAGGGGTGAGAGGACCGACCCCTGCGGCACCCCACAAACAAGGCGCCTCGGGGTCGACCTCTGCCCTCCTGCCAACACCAACTGCAACCGGGCAGAGAGATAGGAGGAGAACCACCGTAAAACGGTGCCCCCCACCCCCAACCCCTCCAACCGGTGCAGCATGGTATCATGGTCGATGGTATCAAAAGCCGCTCAGAGATCTAACAGGACTAGGATAGAGGAACAATCCCTATCCCGAGCCCTCCAGAGATCATCCACCAATGCGACCAATGCCATTTCCGTGCTGTGCCCAGGCCTGAAGCCGGACTGGAGCGGATCTAGATAGACAGCTTCATCCAGGTACCGCGGAAGCTGTTGCGCCACCACACTCTCAACAACCTTCGCCACAAAGCGAAGGTTGGAGACTGGATGGTAGTTAGCCAAAACAGCCGGATCCAGGGAGGGCTTCTTGAGGAGGGGCCTCACCACCGCCTCTTTTAAGGCGGAAGGCAAGACACCCTCACTCAGAGAAGCGTTAATAATCCCCTGGAGCCAGCCTCGCGTAACCTCCCGGGAGGCCAGCACTAACCAGGAGGGACACGGGTCCAATAAGCATGTGGTTGCGTTCAGCCATCCCAGAATCCTGTCCACATCCTTGGGAGCCACAGGGTCGAACTCCTCCCAAATGACATTCTCAAGACCTGCCTCCATCATCCCACCTGTACCTACCCAGCCAGAGACCAAGCCTTCCCGAATCTGAGTGATTTTATCATGCAGATACTGCACAAAATCCTCAGCCCAATCCTGCAAGGGATCCTCCCGCGCTCTCGGATGGAGAAGGGAGTGGATCACTCTAAACAGGGTGGCTGGGTGGTTATCTGCAGATGCGATAAGAGTGGAAAAATAGTTAGATTTTGCCGCTTTTATCGCCACTAGGTAGGTCTTAATATGAGACCTCACCAGTGTTCGGTCAGATTCGGAATGGCTGGTCCTCCAACCACTCTCCAGGTGTCTTTTCCGGCACTTCATCTCCCTCAGCTCCTCGGAGAACCAAGGAGCCAGGTAAACTCGGCGACGGGTCAGAGGCCGCAAAGGCACGACTCGGTCCAAAGCACCAGCGGCCGCCCTGTCCCAGGCGGCCACCAGCTCTTCAGCCGAGCCATGAGTCAGAGCCTCAGGAAATGGCCCAAGCTCCATCTGGAACCTATCAGGATCCATCAGGTGCCTGGGGCGGAACCACCGTCTGTTCCGCCTCCCTGCGGCGGGGTGTGGCGGTTAGAAAGTCAAGCCTAAGAAGGGAATGATCTGACCATGACAAGGGCTCGGTCACTATCTCCCCTATCTCAAGATCATTCATCCACTGACCAGAGACAAAAATCAAGTCCAGAGTGTGTCCTCCCATGTGAGTGGGTCCATGAATTAATTGGGTCAGGTCCATGGCCGTAATGGAAGCCATGAACTCCCGGGCCACCTCAGACGCTTCGCCGACAGATGGCAAGTTGAAGTCCCCCATGACCATAAGCCTGGGGGTCTCCACCGCCACTTCGGCAATCACGTTGAGCAGCTCGGGCAGGGCCGCCGACACGTGGCAGGGAGCCAGGTACGTGATCAGCAAGCCCATCTGCCTCCCATGTCCCCACTTCACAAGAAGGGACTCACATCCGGCTATCTGAGGTACAGTGGCCTCCCTTGGAACAAGTCCTTCCTTTACAAGAACCGCCACTCCCCCGATTTAATAGATTTAATAGGATATATTAAGTATAATTTTCATATTTGCATAACAATATACACAGGGGAAGGACAAGGCTACCAAAGAGTTTTGCTAGCCAAAATGACTGATGTACTAAAATTTATCAAAGTTGAATCCATTCTACTTCAGGTAATAGTTGTAAAGATTTTTCCAAAACTTACTAAAAAACCAATATTTAGAAACATTTATTGACAATAAAAATCCACTTATAGTTAAAAATTACATTTCTAATTTAATTTAGCTATCATTTCTCAAAACCAAATCCTGAAGCAAAGTATTCCCTTGTCTGGAAAAAAAAAAAGGCTGAAACACTGAAAAAAATGTCCTCACAAGCTGTTCTGTGTTCAGGCGGCTTTGTCGAGGACCACCGTCTACTTCATATTTCTCTTCTTGTTCAAAAGTGCCACTCCCAAAGCTGGCTTCTACCCCTATAAGTTGGAAAAGAATGTTTAAAAAAAGAAAACATGGTTATTTTCTGCAAATCCAGAAGTGGGTTTGGGGAGGGGGAATTGAAGGATTAGGGGGGAAAATCACGAAGATAACAGATGGACAGATGATTGGCTGGAACATGTGCCAAACTAAGAGAAAGACTCAATACCAGATGATAAATAAGTAATCAAATTAGTCAATCAATCAATTAGAATAGAGCTGGAAGGGACCTTGGAGGTCTTCTAGTCCAGCCTTTTCTTAAAAACCTCCAGTGATGAAGGTTCTGAAGGCAAGTTATTCCACTAGTCAATTGTCCTCACTGTTAAGAAGTTTCTCCTTAATTCCAGGTTGCTTCCCTCCTTGATTACCCATTGTTTCTTGTCTTGCCTTCTGGTGTTTGGAAAATAATTTGACCCTCTCTTTTTTGTGGCAGCCCCTCAAACACTGGAATACTGCTATCATGTCACACCCTAGTCCTTTTCTCTAGACTGACAATACCCAGTTCCTGCAAGTTTTTCATGTTTTTGTCTCCAGGCCCAATTATCTTA